GGGCCAGGCTCTGGTAATCAGCAATGACTCAGCCCCAGCCTGGAAGGCCAGGGGAGTTCCAAGAGACCTCATGAATCAAAGCAGGGGAGGGGAGGAGGGAAACATGAAGGAGAACCTGGCTCCCAGCCTTGCCTCCCCCTGGGCAAGTCACTAAGCCTCTCCTGGCTTCAATTCCTCATTTTAAAAAGGGGCTAACACGACCTACCTCATAAGAGTCTTAAAAAGATTAAATTGGCTAATACAGAATAATAGAATGCCCAGGCCATAGCACCACACAGAAGTGTGGCATCAGTCAACGAAAGCTACTATCAGATGTTCAGCTGAGTACTGTAGAGTGATCATGTTAGCACCAAAGGAGGCAGGAGTGTAGGGGACCATCAGCAGGGTGAGGGGTGGGGAGAAAGGAGGTGGAAATAGATAACTAGGCTCTAGATGAAGCAACTCTTTGTCACTCCTTGGACTGACTCTCATAGCTTTCATATTAAACTTTTTTTTTTCTTTTTTAAGATTTTTGTCATAGCGTGCATGTGCTTGCCAGAGAGACAGAGAGACAGAAAGTGAGAAATCACCCTCAAAGGAGATGACCACACCACAATCCCTTCTCCTCCATTGCCCTCTCAGGACTGGGCACTCATGCACATCTGCCCAGTGTGAGTTTCCAGCTTCTAGATCTGGGACTTGAACTACAGTCAGCCATTTGGGAGCTCAGCGCCTTAACCACCATGCCACCTGCTGGCCCTATAATTTCTGCATTTTAAAGACTCCGTATATCTTGCAAAATGAATCCAGTTTATACCATACCCACCAGTGAATGAACCCAAGTCTGTCTTACCCTTCACTAATGCTGAATAAGTTACTTTGTTTTAAAAAAGTTTTTATTTATTTATTTATTTTTAAAATTTACGTTTAAGTTACTTTTTAAAACATTTTTATTTATTCATTAATTTATTTTAATTTGGCTAGAGAGAGACACACAGGGAGGGGGGGAAAGGGACGAGAAAGTGAGCCACTAGATCTGAGACTCCAACCATGGTTGGCCATATGGGAGTGTCCAGCACCTTAACTACCACACCACCTGCTAGTCCCTACATTCAAGTTACTTTTGATAGTTCTCAATTTATTATCGGGTTGTCAGAAAAGTGATGATGCATTTTGCACAGAAAAACATGTCATGACTTTTCCAACTACTCAATAGATAACATAGCATTTCCTCTTAATTTCATTACTAGTAATTTTCATTACTAGTTAAATTTTAAGTATTTATTGAATAATTGTATCTTTTTCCTTCATCAGAGGCTTACTAGTCCTTAGATATTTTTGTTTTAGTGGTGTGTCTCTGTTTACCTTTATTTCCTTTTATTTTGAACACTTGCATCAGAGAGGTTCCATTAACTTCATTTCCTCAGGAGTCAGTTCCTCTGTTGTTGACTTTTGGGCTCCCTTTTGTGGTGTAGTCTTTCTCCCGGTATCTGACGGTCTTTGATTGTGTGGTTCTGTGTGGCTAGGATTTCCACTGGACTCTCTACTGCCTGTTTGCTCTGGGGAGGGTGGTAGCTGCTGCCATGGCTAGTACTAGGCTTGCTTTCCGGGAAGTGGAGTGGAGGTGAGATGCTGTGTTAAAGCAGGGACTTTAGTAGCTGGTCTCTGGATACTGAAGCTCCTGGTCCCTCTCAGGTGCTTCCCATGATCAGGGTCCTGCCCCTCTGTGCTAGTCCTGGAGTCATGAACATCATGTCATGGCATCACTGTCTTACTTCCCTCTGCCCTCCACACCTGTTCCTACCTACTCTCTTCTTCCACGTGGATATCATGTCATCTGGTAATCTAGTTCAAACTTGCCATTTCAAACATCTTGTTTTACAATAATTACTTATCTAGATACCTAACATTGTTTTTACTAATTTCTGTCCCTGATAAGTTAGCAGAAGAGGGAGAAAACTCGGACAGGGACATCTTGCCTCACGGCCCTCTCCATGGGACCACAGTTCATCATTCTGTGGTAGGATATCAGCCCGTTCCACTTCCACTTCTTGTACTACAGGCACGGAGCCCTTCTGTGTGGACCCACCACCTGTGCCATGTCAGCTGCTGCTAGCTAGTTATTTATTTATTTATTTTTAGAGGATTTTGCGTTAGGGCATGTGTACTCCACCAGAAAGAGTAAGAGACAGAGACAGTGAGAGGGAAAGTGAGAAATCCCTCAAGAGAATTGGCCACACTGCAATCCCTTCTCCTCCAGGGATCTTGGGCACGCATGCACACACTCCTGGTATGAGTTTCAAGTCACTGGATCTGGAACTTAAACCATGGTCAGCTATGTGGGAGCCCAGCGAGATCACAGTTGGGCCATCTGCTGGCCTGCTCTTTATCTTTGATATAGTCCTAGTTGCTCTCCAACAATCAGAGTCTTCTAGCAGTTTCTATTTCCCCAATAGATTCCCTTTTTGCTTTCAAGTATAGCCATATTTTCTTTCTTCTTTCTTTTCAGCCATCCTGAGGGTTTTGTATGGGATGAGGAGACTGATGCGTGTGCCCAGTTTATCTTCCTCCAGACAGAAGTCTGACTGTTACAGTTCTAATCACATTTCTGACAGCTCACATTTCAACTGCCCCACAGCAGCACTTACTGGGTATTTCAGATCCACGCTTAGACACAACCATGGAGAAATGGGATTTTAAAGAATTACAGGTACCAGCAGGTGGCATGATGATTAAGGGTACTGGATTCCCACATGGCCCATGGCAGTTCGAGTCCCAAACCTGGCAGCTTGCTTTCTCACTTTTCCTCTTTCTCACTCTGTCCCTCTGTGGTCAAATTAAAAAAATAAGCAAATAAAATTTAAAAAGTTGTAGCTGGTCTCTGGATACTGAAGCTCCTGGTCCCTCTCAGGTGCTTCCCATGATCAGGGTCCTGCCCCTCTGTGCTAGTCCTGGAGTCATGAACATCATGTCATGGCATCACTGTCTTACTTCCCTCTGCCCTCCACACCTGTTCCTACCTACTCTCTTCTTCCACGTGGATATCATGTCATCTGGTAATCTAGTTCAAACTTGCCATTTCAAACATCTTGTTTTACAATAATTACTTATCTAGATACCTAACATTGTTTTTACTAATTTCTGTCCCTGATAAGTTAGCAGAAGTGGGAGAAAACTCGGACAGGGACATCTTGCCTCACGGCCCTCTCCATGGGACCACAGTTCATCATTCTGTGGTACGATATCAGCCCGTTCCACTTCCACTTCTTGTACTACAGGCACGGAGCCCTTCTGTGTGGACCCACCACCTGTGCCATGTCAGCTGCTGCTAGCTAGTTATTTATTTATTTATTTTTAGAGGATTTTGCCTTAGGGCATGTGTACTCCACCAGAAAGAGTAAGAGACAGAGACAGTGAGAGGGAAAGTGAGAAATCCCTCAAGAGAATTGGCCACACTGCAATCCCTTCTCCTCCAGGGATCTTGGGCACGCATGCACACACTCCTGGTATGAGTTTCAAGTCACTGGATCTGGAACTTAAACCATGGTCAGCTATGTGGGAGCCCAGCGAGATCACAGTTGGGCCATCTGCTGGCCTGCTCTTTATCTTTGATATAGTCCTAGTTGCTCTCCAACAATCAGAGTCTTCTAGCAGTTTCTATTTCCCCAATAGATTCCCTTTTTGCTTTCAAGTATAGCCATATTTTCTTTCTTCTTTCTTTTCAGCCATCCTGAGGGTTTTGTATGGGATGAGGAGACTGATGCGTGTGCCCAGTTTATCTTCCTCCAGACAGAAGTCTGACTGTTACAGTTCTAATCACATTTCTGACAGCTCACATTTCAACTGCCCCACAGCAGCACTTACTGGGTATTTCAGATCCACGCTTAGACACAACCATGGAGAAATGGGATTTTAAAGAATTACAGGTACCAGCAGGTGGCATGATGATTAAGGGTACTGGATTCCCACATGGCCCATGGCAGTTCGAGTCCCAAACCTGGCAGCTTGCTTTCTCACTTTTCCTCTTTCTCACTCTGTCCCTCTGTGGTCAAATTAAAAAAATAAGCAAATAAAATTTAAAAAGTTAAATAAAATAATTCTAAAAAAAATAAAAAAAAAAGAATGACAAGGGAATATCCCAGGCTCATGGACTTCCCAGAGGAGTGCTCTTCATTGAGACTTCTGAGGGAGAAGCAGGCCCTGGCCAAGGATGGGGCCCAGGAGGTGGCTGGAGGATGGTGCAGGAGTTGGGAAGGCCATGAGCAAAGATCTGGAAGTGAGACAGTGTGCTGTGGTGGCATTGTGGAAGTCAAAGGAGCAAGAACAACATGTGGTAGGAGTTGTAGAGCAGAGGCGATCACTTTCACAGGGAAGCCGTGACGTTGCTGCCATGTTTCAGACCTGAGACCCTGCCAGCCTGCTCTGCAGACAGTGAGGTCTGGAGAGGATTCAGGTCTGCTCTGTAGCCCCTAACCTCTCACCTGCCCCAACAGCCCAGCTGGTGCCTCTTGACTTTGTCCACAGGAAACCATACCTGAAAGCAGTTTCCTGTGCCGCTAATGAAGCTTTAGTCTTAGCACCCCTCAGTTCCACAGGATCCTTCCAAGGGTCTGAGGGGATGAGAGGGACACTAATTAAATGTTCACATGCCCATAGGTGTCCCTTGACATGCAAAGAAGTGAGATATTTTTGAAGTTCTCCTTTTAAAGAATTTATAAATTATAAAAGTTTTGAGCCCCAAAGAACCTGAATCTGCCCCTGAATGGATCATCAAGAAATAAAGGATTCAATTAGAAGAGAAGTTGGGTGGGCAATAAAGCTGGAGGGAGAAATATGGAAGAGTAATTCACTTAGGGACGACACAAGTGGGCGGCCCCAGGTTCTGAGAAGGCATAGCTATAAAAGAGCAGCTCCTCCTAGTGGGCCACAAGCCAAACTCCTGACAGCAATGTTCCAGACGTCAGGGCCAGTGACCAGAGCAGTAACTAATGACCTGAAGGTGATTTGGGGCTGTTTTTCAGGACCAGGCAGCTAAATGGCACCTGTGCCAACTCCGTGGACATGGAGCTCTTCCTCCATTACTCCCTCATCCCATCAGTAAGTAAAGGCGAGGGTGGGGGCTGGGCAGTTCCTGCACACAGATGCCCAAAGACACCTGAGTGAGTTAGGGGAGAGACATCAGCCGAGTTTCCTACTGAGATCTCCACTCAGTCTCGTACATTATGCCCCAGGGACCCAGGCAGAAGGTGGCTTTTATGGGCCCAGGAGGCCCAGGAGGCAGAGAGTAGCTAGAATATGCAGAAAATAATATTTCAGACAGAGGGAGAGAAGTGCAAAGGCCCTGTGGAGAGGGAGAAGGGAGAATGTGAGGAATGGACAGGGCCAGCCTGGTGGAGGGGAGAACTGAGGTGCAGTCTAGGGACTAGGTGGGGCCAGGCCACCCAGAGCCCTGTGGGCCTCGGTGTTAGGAGTTCTGTCTTCATTCTAAATACAATGAGAAATAATTAAAATAATTCTATCGGGAGGGCAGTGTGATCACATTGATGTTTTTAAAAGATCACTCTGGTCACAACATGATGATCAGGTTGTAGATGAGCTAGAGAGGATGCTGGAAGACCAATTAGAAGACTGTTTCAAGAGTCCAGGTGAGAGGTGACATTAGTTCATTTTTGAATGATGGCCAACTCAAGACATTCAGGAGCTAAAAACAATAGGACTTCATAATAGGTTGGGTATAAATGTTAAGGAGAGGTTGAGGGTGAGTCTTGGGATTCTAACTCACACAACTGAAAGAATGGTGGTGGCTATCATTCACCAGATAAGGGAAATTAGAAGAGATTCAGAATGGGGTGGATGAAAGAATAGGGCCAGGAGGAAAATCATAGGTTCCATTTAAGACATGACAAATTTGAGAAACTTTCAGGACATCACAAAGAAATGTCAACTATGCAGTTGGATGTATGGTTCTGGAGCTCATAGGCAAGCTCTGGGCTGGAGATTCACATCTGTGAGTCTCCTATGTATGATGGCTGTTAAAAGCATGGAGTGGGATGGGATCACCAAGGAAGAGAAGATCAGGGAAGAAGAAGACTGGCTCTTGGACTGAGCTCCAAATCTAGGGATTGGATAAAGAATGTTCCAGACATGGAGACCAAGAAGTGGAGGATCATTAGGAAAGCATGGCTAATGGAGGCCTAGGGAAGAGTGTTTAAAAAAAGAGGAAATAGTCAACAGTGGAATGCTGTAGGGAGAGCAAGTTGTATTTGGGCTTCAGGTACATTGGACTGAGCCATGAGGGGGTCATGAGTCATTGTCCACAGCTGTATATTGGACTGAGCCATGAGGGGGTCATGAGTCATTGTCCACAGTGGTTTTGGTGGAGCAGTGGGGGGTAGATGCCAGGCTAAGGGGTTTGAGGAGCCAGTGGGAAGAAAGGAAATTAGATAAAGTGTAGACAATTTCTAGAAGTTTCTGGCAAAGGACAGAGAGAGAATGAGCATCAAGTATATGATTATGTGGCTGAACCTGCAGGATAAAAGCAAAGAAGCATTTATAATCTGATAGTTATTACTGCTTTCGTACAGATGAGGAAACTGAGGTTCAAGAAGTGAAGTCTCCCTCTTGGTCAGTATGTGGGACAGACTAGATTTGAATCTATATCTGCTCAGGGCAACACAAAAGAAAGCTCAGGACAAAGCATTCTGTTAGCTCCAGGGTCCATGCAGCCAGCTCCTGACTCTGGAGTGTGAGGTGTCACAGACATTCTGAGTGCTCTGCTCGCTCCTTGGGCTCTCTCTCTTTTTTCTTTCTTTTTTTTTTTTTTTAAGAATTATTTATTTCATTTTATTTATGTATTCTAATTTGATGAGAGAGAAAACGAGAAAGAGAGAGAGAGACAGAGAAAGTGAGAAAGCATGTCTGGGACTCAAACCGTGGTTGGTATGTGGGAGTGTCCAGCACCTTAATCACCATGCCACCTGCTGGCCCCATCCCTGGGCTCACTTTCAGTGAGACCACTGAGGCCACATTGAGGGTGAACATGTCCAATGATCCTCTCATTTTCTCTTACAGCTTTTCATCATTTTGGTCTTATCCTTCCTCCAAAGACGAGAGGAGCGTAGACGGAGAAATGATACCTTTTACCTCCTGGGGAACCACTTCGGAATCATCGTGTGAGTTGGGGCAGGGTCAGCTCCTGCAGCTTGGGATACCCTGTAGTTGGGTATCCCAACATACCCACCCCCTCCGCCTCCACCCACTGTGCACAGTTCTGCTCTTTCCTGTTCCAACCCAAACAAAGCTCTGAGAGTTCAGAATTGGCTTCTGAGTCCTTGCAACCCTCAGCCTCCAGGGACTGCCTAAAGACACTTGAAACAGACTGGAAAAGGCCTTTCCACACTTGGGACTATGCCTACCTAAGGAAGCAGCAGGGGGAAGTTCCCTGTGACTAGAGGAGCAGTGTTTCATGTTGGGATGGCGCCATGAGTAAAACACTAGGCAATCCTGCTGGGCCAAGGGAGCTTTCCGGACCTTTCTAGGTTTGCCATTCTGAGTCTCTGTGTCCCTTATGATACTTTTCCTTGTGCTCTAACTGTTCGCATCTCTGCCTCATTGCCCCCATCGTCATCCCCTTCAGCAGCAGCAGTATTACGCTGTTAGCGTTCACTGCACACTGTGTGACCAGGCACGGAACCATTTGCTTGGTTTGCATTCCTTTGATGGTCCTCTTGCCAATCTAGCATAATGGAGGTTATTATCCTTATGCAATGACTGAGAAAACTCAGGTTCAGAGAGGTTAAGCGTCTTGCCTAAGGCCACACAGCAAACAAGAGACGAGAGCTTTAACTTGGATCAAATTGATATTCTCTCTGACCCCCACAGTGTCATACCGTGAACAGAATCAAACTGTGGACATTCTGAGGGCTCAGCCTTGGGCCCTACAGAAGGGAGAAGAAGCTGGGATATCAGGACCAAGCTGGGAACAACCTGAGCTGCGGGCTGTGAGGCCCATTCTGGACACCATTTACTGGGCTGTCTGTCCTTCCCAAACTGCCAGGTCTAAGATGCATTGGTAGGGCACAGGAAAACAAGGAAGCTGATGGATAAAGATCTTTGGCTCTGCCCTGGGCAACTGGCACACAGGTGCAGAACTTTACAAGAAGTAGGAGCTCCATAGCAATTCCTCCAAAGTGCTTTGAATTAAATTAATAATGGCATAATTGGCTTTCTCCCTAGCCACTTTCTCATCAAAACCCCTGCTTCACTAAGTAATTTTGCCATACTGTCCCTGCTGAATAATAACCTCACACGCATGCAGGGCAGTCCGCAGCTTATAAAGCAGTTCTTCATTTGCCACACATAATGACTGATGTGAACAGAGGAGGAGTGTCCCTCGCCGTTTTAAGATGGGGAAACTGAGTTTCAGCTCTTAAGCACCTCATGCGGGGTCTTGATTAGAATTCAATTCATTATAATAAAACACATGTCCACAAACCTACCCCAGAGCACCTACTCTTTCCGAGGTCCTGTGCTAGATTCCCATCCCAGAGGCATTTATACTTTACTAAGCACATGGCAAGGAGGTGTGCCAAAATAGGACATGAAAGTACTGAGGGACACGGATGAGGTGGCCGGATTGGGAGGGAGTGATCAGGGGGCTTCTTAGAAGACGTGCTCCCCAGCCTTAAAGGTGAAGACGAACGAGCAAGTGGGCCTCCCTGCTACAAAGCCAGGCTCGCCCTGCCAGCCTGTGCATCCACTGAAGCCCAGTTCAAATGGGCCTTTTCACTGGGAGAGGCTTTTCTCTTTTCCCAAGTACAACTGAGTACTTGGACCTAAACAGAGCTCTCTTAGTTAGAAGGAACAGGTATCTACTCAAGTTTGTTCATCCTAAAGGAAAAGGAAGTTTTTTTTGTTTTTTTTTTTAATAATGATTTAATTATTGTTATTATTACTTTTAATTTGCTATAGTGTATGTACACTCATCAGAGAGAGAGAATGAGAGAAAACAAGTCACCAGGTCCAGGACCCAAACCGTGGTTCGTCATGTGGGAGTCCAGTGCCTCAACCACCATGCCAGCTGTTGGCCCCAGGAAGAATTTTTTTTTTTTTTTAAGATTTATTTGCTACAGGTGCACATGCACTTGCAGAAGAGACAGAGTGACAGGTCGTCAGGTGGGGGCCCGGGTCCTCAACCCCCATGCCAGCTGTTGGCCCCAGAAAAATTTTTTTTTTTTTTTTAAGATTTATTTGCTACAGGTGCACATGCACTTGCAGAAGAGACAGAGTGACAGTGAGAGGAAAAGTGAGAAATCACCCCCCAGAGAGGATGGCCATGCTGCAATCCCTTCTCCAGGAAAGGAAGGAATTTTAAACAGTTACAGAGCTCTCATAGAACCCAGGAAGACAGGCTTGTGGGAACAACGCTCGTGAGATGGGAATCTGTGGGAGCACTTGACCCGCTCTGTCCCTAGGGTCCCCCAGCACTGTATTGCCATTATCTTCTCTGCCATTTGACTCAGGACCTCTGCTTACCTACAGCTTTGGTTTCTTTCTAGCAGTGACTCTGATCCTGGTGTGATATGCCCTTTCAGACCAGGACTTCAACAGCTAACTGACTCATCTCCTCAGGGGCACAAACCCTGAGTAGCCCATCCAAGACAGGTGGGCACCTATGGTCCAGTCAACTGTGGCCAGAAAGAGATGAGCACATAGGAGAGGCAAGTTTTTTCTTTTTCTTTTTAAAGAATTATTTATTTTTAAAATTTTTATTATGATTATTCATTTGTTTTAGGGCACATGCACTCACCAGGGAGAGGGAAAGTGAGAGAGCAAGCTACCAGGTCCAGGGCTTGAATCATGGTTGACCATGTGAGAGTCTAGTGTCTTAACCACCCTGCCACCTGCTGGTCCTGGGTAGACAAATTTTTACCTCTACTTTCTCAGGGTTTTCTGGTTGGGCCTGAGAATTAAATTGATATAAGACAGATCAATAGGACAAAAGCATAGACATTTATTTAATATAAGTTTTATGTGATACGGGAGCCCTCATGAGAAAATGAAGACCCAAGACATAGTTAGAGTTGGTCACAAATATACTGAATTGAGCAAAGAGCAGTAAGTGCTAAAAAAGTAACTAAATGATGTGCAGACACTCCAAGATAGCAGTTATTTTAATAAAGTCTATATGGAATTCTCTTGGCCTCAACTTCACATCATTGATGATAAGATGTTCTTTTCCTTCAGAACCGGAATGGCATCTTCCACATGGGTATTTCATCTCTTGTTTTTTAAGGAGCATAAAGGTCAGAGTGATCTTTTTCTACCTGCTGTTTTTTATTTTAAGTGTCTTTAACTCAAAATAGCTAACATGCCAGAGTGGTATATTTTGGGGTGACCTATCCTTTACTCCTTCAATTACCTGTATTGCCAATGATACTCAGACCTACATCAAGGACACTGGAAGAAACAATCTTCATAGAATGATACTGGGTGCAGAGCCAGGGTCCCCCAAACCTGTCTAGGACACACTGCTTGTTTTAGTCTCCCAAATCATACTGTCTGTGTCTGTCCTAGCCTAAACTCTTGTCACCTTGCTTTATGTCATGGCTACTAGTGTCCTTGCTTGCACTCCTCACTAGACCCAGAGCTTGTCTTCCTCACTTTAGTACCTTCTGAACCCATGCCTTGCCCCAGGCCTGGCACAGGGGGCCTCAGGAAGTGTCTGTTCATTCTCCCATAATTCCTTCTCAGGGTGGAGATGACCCGTGGGAATGTTTCAGAACCACCCTCTGATCTCAAAGCTGTTTCTGTTGTTCACAGGCCTCTGGACTTCGTGGGCACGTTTAGCAACCGATGGTCCTATGGAGTTGCCTTTGGGGCTACAGCCAACAAGGTCATGTTCTTGTTCTCAGAAGGCTACCAGCCCCTGCAGGTCCCGCAGTGGGCCCAAGGTACTGGGGCTGCCTCACACCTGCTGGAAACTTCACTGTGGGAATTCTTGCTCTCAGAGACCATGTGGCAGCGGTTCTCTGGGATCAGGGGATGGATTTTGTGAATGGTCATGTTCTTCCCAGACTGTAGTTTGCCCATGGTCAATGTTTACCCCACAAAGCCTCAGCCTTGTTGGTGGGGCTTTTGCTCAGTTAGATTCCGGTCCTTTAGACATCACAAAGGCTCAGGAGGAAGGCTTTTCCTCACTTGCCCCCCAAAATTCTCCTGAGTCATAACCCTGGCTGCCTTCTTGATGTCAGTGAACCCTAGAATTATCCCTCAAAGAACAGTGTTTACTTACTTCTTTGGCATTTGGTCTGAGGCCTCATCTTTCCCCATTTCTACCTGAAGCAGCAGGTCAAGTCTACAAATTCAACTATCCCTTATACGACAATTCCCAGATTTCTCTGTCCAGCCTGGTGTTCTTGGACTATTCTCTAACGGACTCCAAGTTTATATAATCAAATGCCTACCAACCTCTCAGTCTTCTGGGAAATGCAAGCTAAACTCAAAACAATATACCAGTGCATACCTCTTTGAATGAATCAATTTGAGAAGTTTTGACAAATGTTTTTCACTTTCCCTCTGCTTCTTTTTCCTCAGCTGGTAATGTCAAGTGGGTCTAGTCACCTAGAGTGTTGTAGGCATTGTCTGTAGGCCCTTGGTTTTGCCATCTCAGTGGCTCTGTCTGCTTCTATGGGAAAAATTCAGGGAGATGAAAACGTTTTGCTGCTGCAGCTGCTGTTCTCACGGCAATCATTTTTTAGTATCGCTCTTTCCTGTCAGCTCTCCACCACTCGCATTCACACAAACACTGACCAGCTGCAACCAATCATTACCCGCCCTTGGAATGAGGAGCATCCTTTCTTTCCAGTTTCTCTCCATGTTACAAACTCCTGCGTGTATTATAATGCCTTGTGAAATGTCAACATCTTCAGGAAGTCTTCCTTGATGCCCCAGCCCCAGGTGAGGCCAGTGGCTTCCTCTTTGTCCCTGCAGCGGGTTGAAAATGCCTCTGCAAAGTAATTCGTACCACTGACTTTCCAGCTTGTCTTCCCCACTGGACTGCCAACTTCTGAAAGCGAGAACCTTGTCCATTCCTCCTGGCTCAGGACCGGGCTCTAAGTAACCACTTAGTCAAGACCATCTTGCGTGGGAAGTGTGCACTGGACCCTGTTAGGCCATTTCAGAACTAGCTAGTGGCAGCATCAAGACCGTTGTCTTACGTAACAGGTGCACTATAGTTGACGTGCGATTTGTGTACATCCCGTCTCTCTGTATTGCTGTGGTATACGTGTAGCACTTGACTCTCAGCAATTTCTGTGTGTTCACTTGTTTATGTGGTCTGTCTCCACCTGTCATACTGTGAGCTAATCAGGTGAAGGGACCAGGTCTTCTTATCTCAATAGTAAGGCCAATATCTGGTACAGATTAGGAACCAGCAAGGGCCAGTTCCATAGCACAGTGGTTAAGCTCTGTCCATAGAGAGCAGAGCCCACACAGCCTGTTGTGGTTCATGTGCTAGCTCTGGTAGCTTGGCAGTGATACCACCAGGTACATGTGTGTGCCCAAAATTCTAATGGGAGGGAGAAATGGAGGAAAAGAATTGTGGTGTGATCGTGCCCTACTGGGGATACTTTCTCTCTCTCTCCCTTTCTCTCACACACATCTCTGGTGAGCACATGCACCCTTTGGTAATTAAAAAAAAAAATAGAGACAAACCTGTGAGAAGAGGAGCTCAACAGTGTCTCTGGCCCTGTCTCTTCCAGCATTTGTGCTTCTGATAGGAGGTATCGAAGTTGGCCTGTCCCACTTCCCCTTCTTTGCCTGCCTCTCATCGGAGTTCCGGCTGGTCAGTTCCATCCTTGGCTTCAGTTACTCTCTGATCTGGTAAGATGAACTCTGCCTGCCCTTCCAGATCCCTTTGGGCATGGCTGAGCATTGGACAAAGGGCTGGATGTTATCTGTGAGCTCCTTCAGATGACATCTTTTCCCAGACCCAAGGCTCGCAGTAGGGCGACTTGTCCAAAGTCACATTGGGGGCTCTGTTGGGGCTGTATCAGAGACTTCAGAATATCAGGCCAGCTTTCTGTCCACCTCACACTGGCTACTCATGGTTAGAATATTCCTAGAATGCAGGGATTTAGGAAAATTTATTTCTGTAAACTGGTGAGGGTCCTATTAGGGAAAGTGGGAGCCTCATTCAGTGTTTGTTTTTTTCTTTCTTTTTTCTTTTTTTTTTCCCCTCTTAACACTGTCATGGCTTCTCTTGGGAGCCTCAAAGAATATTCACATGCCTTAGGTTGGTAATTAGGGCCATCACAGTTTGGCCTCTTCTTTTCTCCCAATCCCTCAACAATGTCTAGCACACACCTGCAGTCATGCCAGACTCCTACATTCCTTCACCTGTCCACTTACCCACTCAATAACTATTTTATTACATCCCCTCCGTGAGCCAGGAAATACACTGGAAAACAAGGCAAGCCCTTGTGGATCACATGTTCTGGCCTCTGTCTGCATGTTCCCATTCCCTGTATGGGTCACCTTTACCAGCCTGGTCTAGTGATAAAATATATGCTTCTGCTTCATGGGCACTTAACTCCCACCAGGAAAGGGAGTGACCTTTATGTTGAGCTCTGTGCCCTCAACACCAGGCACCAGACCTGGCACAGAGATGACACCAGCTGGGGACATTTATTGACTGAATAACCCCAGGAACCACTTTGCTACCCAACTGCCAAGGCTCAGTTCCTCATCTCCAATTCCCTTACTGGGCTGCCTCCCCATCCAGGATTTCTTATGGAGTAGGGGTTCTCAGGCTCAGTCTGTCAGGGGTAACTGCCTGGCAAGGGACTCACAAGCAGCTAACACATCAATAGCTACCATCCTGAAGTTTTTAAGTGACTTGCACTTTAGGAATTGAAGTTAAGAGTATCCAGGGTTCCGTATAGAGTAATGTCATCTCATCAGCCTCCGATAGACCTTTGATCAGAACAGAACAGGGTGATGGGAACTGCTCAGCAGTCTGAGAACCATGAAAGCATACTGAATGGTTGCACGTGACCAGGAATGTGTGTTGAGTGGAGGATAAAGCATCAAAGCTCATGACTTCAGAGGCTGTTTCCAGTCAAAGTCATGTAGAGGCAGAGAGAGCCTCAACCACAGAGCCAAGAGCCCTGGGTCCTAGTCCTGGCTCTGCCAGGGCCTGTGTGTATGACAGTCGGTCAGTCCTGTGACAACTCTGGACTTCTATCTCCCACCTGAGTGATGAGGTGAGCAAGGATGAGATCTCTCAGGGCCTTCCTGCTCTGCCTCCATGGATTCTGATTGTACATGAGGGCTTATTAAATGAACTTCGTGTATATTTACTTTGGCACAAGCGAGGGTGCCTGACTGAGGAGAGATGTACACGGGCCTAGAAATCAGGCCTCCCTAGGGGAACAGGTAAGACTGGGTTCTGGCTATTTTATAGGGGCTGCTCCTGGGGTGATGCTGGGAAGGAGTCCCAGTGTTTCAAACCCTGTTTCTGTCCCTACAGGTTTGCTGTCACTGTTCTTCAAATTTCACAGTGTCCTTCTGGGCAGGTAAGTCCCACTCGCACTGACCTGCACTTAGGGCCCTCAGTCACATGACCATGGCCAGTTTGCTGTGTGACTTTGGACAATCCTCTGTCACTCCGTTGCCTCAGCTTCCTCATGTGTGCAAAAGGGGAGGTGGGGCTGTTCATGATGGTTCTGTCTGTATGAACCTTATGTTATTGGGGTGCTCATTCACAGACATGCGCTCTCCCAGTTGGTCCTCGCAGCAGCCACGTCATCAAACCTATTTCACAGATGTGGAAATCAGGGCCCAAATGTATTGAATAACTCATACGAAGCAATGGAGTTGGCAGTTGAAGCCAGGTCTGGCTGACTCCAAAGCTCAGTTTCCCCCTTCAATTAGTCCCAGTTTCGTTGTTTGTACAACAGGAGATTTGAACTACAGATAGATGATTCCCTTCTAAGTTTGCTATGCATTGTGACCACAGTTGGTGGAAACTGACTTATCTCCTTAGTCCAAGACTCAGGAAAAGGAGAAAGCTGAAATAGGGGTGTCAGGCTGCGTCTAGTGATGCTACCAGGAGGTGCAGGGAGGCAGAGAGGTCACCTGGGCCAGGAGCCCATGAGAGGCTTGCCAAAGCTTTCCTGGAGCCAACAACTCTGGAGGATTAAAGGAGTGTCCCAAAGAGAGATCCAGTGGAGAGGGACTAGAAAAAAAGGCTTGAGGGCTGGGCCTTCCCTCCACTCCTACATTGGAATTGAGAGCATATGGCCCCCTTCACTACTGACCACAGCACTTGAGATTCCAGATCACAGTGCTTTCCTTGAAAGCTTTCAGTTTTCCAGAGGTGCTTTTGATATTCAAAATATAACTGGAGGAGAGAGCAGTTGCTTCTATGTTCAGAGTCCCTGACATCAAGACCTACTGTGTGCTAGGAGTTGTACTAGGCAGAGTCCCAGTCATTAACCATTGAACCTCAAGACAGCTTTTGAAGACACTGTGCTAGTGTCTCTCACTCACTGATGAAAAGGTGAAGTCCAGAGGATTATGTGACCTATTACAATAAAAAATCATGAGAGGGCCAGCCTCATAGTGCAGAAATTAGTGCTGTAAAGAAGAAGCTGGATCCCACATGGCCAGTCGGGGTTTGAGTCCCAGCCCTGGCATCTTGAGAAATATGCTAGGCACATATCCTAGGATGCACTCTCCTCTCATGAGAGCCTGTGCATGAATGCATCTGCTAGCAAAACAAAACAGCATGGGAGTGGAACTCAGATGAAAGAATAGCATGCAAATTGCTCTCATTTTCAAAAACATTCACTGAGACATAAAAATGAGACACTGGAGAGAGTCTGAGAGGTCAAAAATTAGGGGAGGGAACCAGCAGTTAGCATAATGGCTATGTCGCTGGACTCCCACGTAGTCGACCGCGGTTCGTGTCCCGGACTCGGTGGCTTAAAACTCACGCCGGGCGCGTGTGCGTGCGTGCCCAAGATCCCGAGAGGAGAATGGAGGAGAAGGGATTGCGGCATGACCATCCCCCCTGGGGGGTGATTTCTTGCTTTCTGTCTCTATATTTCTCTCTGTCTGTCTGGCGAGCGCATGCGGCCTATAGTGAAAACCTCTCCAAAAAAAAATTAGGGGAAAATTTAAGTTAAGTTTGGTACATCCAAATAATGCAGTGTTAAAACAGATGCTTCCAAACGATTTATAACCACATTGAAAATGATTATAATATATGCAATGCATATAGATAAAGATATAGATAAAAGACACCGTAATAGTGACAGTGGTTATGTCTGATCCATAAGCATAATCAGAGAGGAGGATGCCGGGGAGACACAGGCCTCCATAGCCCGTGTGCCTCAGTCCTACACCCTGACATCACAGTGGAAACTATGATTCTGGAAACGTAATGAAACATGAAACCAACCAATAGACTGTGAAAGATGTCACCGAGTATTCGTCTTAAAATAGGGAATATTTTTCATCAGAATGAAATCTTTTTCATCAAAAAACACAGAAAAACAATGAGGACTCCGTTGAGAGACCTGTTCTTCCATCAGCCTGTGTCGTGCCCTAACTTATAGGCTATTCTCCTGCCCTTCCTTTCATTTTCTCTGTTTCTCTGTTTTTTTTTTTTTGTTTTTTGTTTTTTTTTTTTTCCAGGTTCTTCCTGCAGTCTACCTACCTATCTCTGTCTCCCTTTCTAATATTTCCCAGAAGGAAAATCAAAGTCATGAAAGCCATTTTTTTTTTTTTTTGGGAGAGATTTTCACTGTAGGGCGCGTGCGCTCGCCAGACAGACAGAGAGAGACATAGAGACAGAAAGCGAGAAATCACCCCCCAGGGGGGATGGTCACGCCGCAATCCCTTCTCCTCCATTCTCCTCTCGGGATCTTGGGCACGCACGCACACGCGCCCGGCGTGAGTTTTAAGCCACCGGGTCCGGGACACGAACTGCGGTCGACTACGTGGGAGTCCAGCGACATAGCCATTACGCCAACTGCTGGTTCCCATGAAAGCCATTTTTTAACAAAAGGTTTTTGCTGCAGGAAATGTGTGCTTACTGGACAGACAGAAAGAGACAGTGGGAGGGACAGTGAGAAATCGCTCCTCGGGGGAGATGGCCACGTTGCAATCTCTTCTATTCTCCTCCCGAGATTCTGGCACACATGCGACACGCTCTGCGTGATTTTCAAATTGCCAGATCCAGGACTCAAACTGTGGTCGGCCGTGTTGGAGTCTAGCACCCCAGTCACCTGCTGACCCCAAAAGCTGTTCTTTTCCTTTTTTTTTTTTTTTTTTAAGATTTATTAATTTAATTTAAATTTAATTATTTTAAAATTTGTTATAGGGTACATGCACCCACCAGAAAGAGACAAAGACAGAGAGAGAAAATGAGAAAGCAAGACACTAGGTCCAGAACTCAAACCACAGTCAGCCATGTGGGAATCAGTCCAGTGCCCCAACCACGACGCCACCTACTGGCCCCCCGAAGGCCATTTTTATAAAGTAAAATGGAAGTGCTAAGACCTGAATCCAGGCTGTTGGCCTCTACATCCAGTCTTGTACTGATGGTGTAAGGCTGGGAAACAGGAACTGGTGATTGAGGGCTAAGCTCCAAGAGGGTGGGCCTTGGTGGGGGCAGACTGAAGCGACAGCTTCACTAGGTAGCCTGGCCCTGCCTGCCTAGAGCCCAGGATCCACACTCACTTCTGTTGCAGTTTGTGGGAAGGTTCGAGGCCCTGGTGTTCTACTGGCCCTCACTGCTGTGCCTCCTCTTCCTGCTGGGTCGCTTCTTGCACATGTTCGTCAAGGCTCTGAGAGTCTACCTGGGCTGGGAGCTTCAGGTGGTGAGTACTGAGCATAGGCAGTATGTGCCCGATCGGTTTAATCATCACAGTAGCCCTAGGAGGTGGGTTCTGTTATTATGTCTTGCATTCTGGATTCCAAACCTCAGAAAGAAAGCAGTGAGTGAGTTGCCTGAGATCACCCAGGTGATCTGCCGCAGAGCCAGAAGTGGGATCCAGACAGTTCCGTTGTGAAGCGTCTTAATAACTATCACATACGACCTCTCTGGCTTAGGGCAAATGACTCCCGCTTTGAGGTCACACTGGGATTAGGATAGGTCTTTCTCTCCTCTATACGTCGCTGTTGTATGATTATATGTAAATCAGAAATCACAATCACACAGTACTATTGAAGTTCATTTTTTTAGAATTATTTTATTTAACTTTATTTATTTACTTATTTCAATTTGACCAGAGAGGGAGGGAGGGAGAGAGAGAGAAAGTGAGAAAGCTAGCTGCCAGGTCCAGACTCAAACCATAGTCAGCCATGTAGGAATCCAGTGCCTTTAACCACCACACCACCTGCTGGCCCCTAACGTTCCTTTTTTTCAAAAGAATTATTTTGTTTATTCATTAATTTATTTTAATTTGACTACAGAGAGACACAGAGAGAGAGAGGGAATGTGAGAGCAAGCCACCAGGTCCAGGACTCGAACCACGAGTCGGCCATGTGGGAGTGTCCAGCTCCTTAACCATCAAGCCACCCTCTGGTCCCCTGAAGTTCCTTTTTTTAATGTTGAAACAAGAGAATGAGTAAAATAAACAGCTGTTCACTGAAAGTAAAAATCTGGAATCTGGAATATTTCACTCTTGATGCAATGGCTTGAGCTTTCATGGAAAATCATTAACTCTGTAAGAGAAAGAAAGCTTTACTAAACGGGCTGGTACAGTGAGGAAGCAGAATTGTGAAGGGAGGCCGAACCTCTGGC